AAAAAAAATGTTGCCCACCCCTGAGCTCAGATTTGGTGCAGTAGTAGTTGAGAGTAATTCTTAACATATGCACAGAGCTCTATGACATCTGGAGAAATCTTGCATGGGATCATTCAAAGCAACATTGTCAAGGTTTGACAAAAACAACCATAACAGTCATTTCTCGATCTTAGTTTGAAATGTTGGCATGAAAGTGGCGGGTGAAATGTGTTCCTTCATGGAACGCTAGGCCTTAAATCTTTACTGTGACTTCACTGAAAGACGGTGAGATAAATCCTCAGAGTGGGAAATCAGCTGAGCACTGAGGCTATCTGACATGCTATCATGCAGTCACAGCACAAGGGGGGTGCAAAAAAACATGTCTTCAATGGAACATATGTCTCTTTCTGCTTTGCAGAAGCTCAGAGCAGATTTATTTATGTAACACTTCCAACAAAGAGCTTTACAATTCACAAAGCAACAAATGACACTGTACACAGAATGATGTGAGGAAACAGACAGGACAGAAAAGACAAATGTGTATGTGTGTACAGCAGAGACGTGCACACACCTCGGTCTCACGGAGACGTCTGCGCAGACTGTCACTGGAGTCTTCTTTGTTCTGGAGCCGCTCCAGATCTCGTTCCAGACGCTCTTTGGCCATTTTCATGCTCTGAAGGTGGTCTGTGGCCTCAGCACTGGCCTTTGATGCCTTCAGGTAAAAAAGACTGATTATCAACCAAGTCTTTCTTTTTCTGTTCATAATATCTCGGTCCAAATAGAAAAGAAGATCAGCTTTACTTCACTGTCACATCTCTGTTTGGTAAAACGTGTCTCACTTTCATTAAATTCAGCTGTCATGAAACTACACAAGTAAGTTGCTGGTGAAGATCCTCCATCATGTAGGTCAAGGGTCTGCAGCCTTTACGATCAAGAGCCATTTCTGCCCCTTTGTTCACTAAATTAAACGTGTCCGGCGCCACAATACCTGCTACAACTGGGATTCTCAACTGGTGGCCCACGGACCACTGTTTGTTGGAGGGTGCTTTTCTGGACAGTTGGGGTGATTTTATAAAACTAAAAATCTCTAATGACTTTTAACACTTATTGATATTTTTACATTCTAAGAAAAGGTGAGATGCTTGTAAAGAAGGAAAACATAATATAGTTTTTGCCCAGTTTCTAAAACTAATACAATAAACTATGCATTCTTATGTGACTTTTTGTAATTGTAGAAAAATTACGTAGCATACGTTGAAGAAATGAAGCATAAAGTGAAAGTAAAGTACGTTTTACTCCTTGTAATGTTTCTAGTATTCATATATTTGCGAAACTGCTAAAACTAGCCCTTTTAGTTGTTATAACAACTAATAAAATTCAGTTTTATTTCAGTTTTGGTCAAAGCTTGAAAGAGCCGCTGCAGAGGGACCAAAGAGCCGCATGTGGCTCCAGAGCCGCAGGTTGCAGACCCCTGATCTAGGACATGATGAATTTAAAAAAAGATTAAAAATAAAACTGAACTATTCTGAAGATGAAGACTTTCTTCACTTCCTGTCTGTTTTATCTGGAGTGTGTGGAGCTCCAAAAACAGTCATCCCATATGTTGCTGGAGTATCTGAAAAACTCAGAAGGACGTTCTCCAAACACAACATCCCAGTACTTTTTAAACCCAACAGGTCCCTCAGACAGAGGCTGGACTATCTCAAGGACAGAAGCCCCAAACCCAAACTGAGCGGTGTGTCTGCAGTTCAGTGCAGCGAGAAATGTTCTGACCTGTCGAGTAAAGAAGCTAAACAAGCTCTCCACAGACACATGGCTCAACACCAGAGAGCAGCTCTTCAGAACCAGACAGAGGTCCACCTACACCTCAAGGATAAGAGACACTCTGCTCAGGACCAAAATGTTTAGATTTTGGACAGTGAAGGCAGAGTAGAGCTTCTGAATAGAAATCCAGTTATTTCAACCATTTTTAAGTAAACCAGCTTTCTTCTAACTTTCTTTAACCAGATGACTCTCAGCTACTACCACCTCACATTTTAGCTGAATAGCAGTAAAACCAAGTTAAAGCCTTACATGTGGTTGTTCCACAAACAAGACATTCTTCTGTAAAGACAATATGATTGATCGTCTTCTCTTTACAGGAAACACATCACTGCCCACTGCTACATGCACAAAGTAGGAAAGAGTGACCAGCTCTGAGATAACTGTTTCACAAACCAGACCTCCTGAGCCAGATGTAAACCCACATTTATGGTCCGGTCTGGCTTCAGTCGGCCTTGACTGTCAGCACAATTGCTCTCAGCAAAATGGATGGCACATTTAAATATTCATTTCTAAGAAAAGAAAGCAGCGATGACAGATTAAAACGTGGCAAAGTGGTCGTTAATAACTGGACACTAACAGTCATTTTTAATGGACAGCTCAGCTGTGCTCTGATCACACTCCTCATCAGGAGCAGATTTCAGAGGAGACAGGGGAGAAAGAAGGAGGTCAGAGGAGGTAAAGAGAGATTTTAGGCACGCATGTGAAATGTCGGTTTGGTTTGAGCACAAGCTCCAATAAATTATTCATTAATCTTCACAGCAGAATATTCTACCTTGGCAAGCTTCTCTTGCAGGTCCTGGATCCTCATCTGCTCCTCGGTGCAGGCCTGAGAGGAGAAACAGAGACATCCTGTTCCAAAGAAAATCCATTCTTATCCTTTATCAGAGCCGTCCAATCAGGAAAGGTCTGAACTTTTAAAATACTGAAGCCCGTTTTACAACAAACTTTCTACCTTACCTTCTCCAACTTGGTCACCATTTCTTCTACCTCTGCTTTGCCTTGTTCTTTGGCCTGTGGAGACAAGAGAAGATCCCGAAGATCCTGACTGCTGCTAACTTAGGATCTTAAACCCAACATTTATAATTACTGTGTCTTACAGCTAATATTTTACTTTTTTATTTTGACTGTGAGCACTGCTCAGAGCATGTTGCGTGCAAAGACTCCACCGCTTGTTGTTTTTAGTAATGGTGCAGACCTTCTGGATCCGGTGCTGGTAGTCTGCAGCTTTCCTCTTCAACTCCTCGTTGGCCTGTCGGGACTCCTTCAGCTCGGCTTCGTACAGATCACTGCGGCGTCGGGCAGCAGACAGGTCCTCCTCCAGCTGCCTGATGGAGACTCGCATCTCCTCCAGCTGAGCATGGTACTCCTACAGAGGAAACACAAAGCTTCAGTCAGCAAGACTAAGGAACGACAGAAGACCAACAGATCTGACAACTAATATGATCACACAAAAAACACACCCATTCATTCATTCATTCATTCATTCATTCATTCATTCATTCATTCATTCATTCATTCATTCATTTATTCATGCATTCATTCATTCATTCATTCATTCATTCAATCATGCGTTCATTCCAAAATCACAATTAGCACATTCTATTTAGTAAAACACTAATGTAATTACATTGACCTGGACTGTAATCTGAAGACATTGGGTTAAAAATGTAGATTGGACAGATTTGAATTAAATTTGTTTAATTCTCTGTTAAGTGCCCTGGAATGATTGGTGGTGATCTATAGACTACATTTAAACATCCATCTATTATCTTTACCTGCTTCTTCCACTTTTTGGTCAAGGGGGTCGCAGGCGCCCATGTCCAGCAGTCACTGTGCGAGGGGCGGGGGCTGGGCCGGATTTTAGCAGGGGCTTACAGGGGCTGCAGCCCAGGGCCCCGGCATTTCAGGGGCCCCAAAGGATGTTTTATGTTTTTGTGAATGGATAGTGTCAGAATTTAATCAATGACTATGATGATTTTGACAGCACCGATGAAAAATGTTCCAATTTGTTCTGGAAAACGTCCATCTTGAATGCTTGCTTGTCATTGGTCCACTTTTGACGCATCTTACGCATTGGGGAGGAGCGTCAGGGAATATTATTTTACAATGGCAGACAACAGTGTTTGTGGTTCTAGTTCCTCCAAATAAGATGAATGCAGAAGTGTTATTAATAAATGGAAATCTGTATTTTGTTCTTCATATTTTTCAAGATGTTCTCTGTAAAAACCTTGGTCTAGAAGATGAAAATTGTTCATTTGCACCCACCTCTGCTTTTATTGAGAACAGGGG